AGCACTGCCTCTGTCGGCACAACTTTTTTATTGCATGCCACTACCCTTCCACCTCCTGCTTCTACGTATCTCAATGAAATGATCATGCAACAGCTCTCCGTCAATAGTAGCAATAAGAGTGCACTCTTCACATCTGCACTCATTAATCACCTCAAGATTGTTCTGAAGACCTACACCATATATCATCAGAAGTGGGAAGGCAGGGTGGGAAATGTGAGCAGAGATATCTATCGGAAATACATTTTCAGTATAGGAAAATGCTAACTTCTCAAATGATATCATACCTCCGCTCACAAAATGGCTAGAATCCCACATTATATTGGTGGAGGGCCAATAAAAAATATGATCCTTTGAGAAGTGCCTGCCCAAAGAGAGACCAAGAGGTGTGGGATCAAAGAAAAAAACATCACACCTCAGTGGGAGACTGCACCACAGGTGATCCAGGTATACTCTTTGCTCTTTTATGACAGTGTTGTGAACATAAAAGGTGGAAACATGAAAAAATCCCAGAATACGTATGTATGCCCAATGAATGGGATTCCTGAGTGTCGAGTGGGTATGGCACAACAGACCACAATAGTAGTAGTTTGACCTCATCTAACACCAGGTTGTATCTGGAATGGTATCTCAGATCTGCGGTAGGTAGAGGAACACGTATCTCTTCACGTCGACATGGGAATTTGTAGAGAAGATGGGATTCCATACTAAAATACTTTCCCACTTGCGTGAATTCCAACCCAACGAACACCAGATCTGCCGAGAACCGACATCCAGCAGAAGGTAGGAAGGTGGAAAGCCCCAGCGGAATGACATCTCCAGTCTAAAACCTGATGGCAATGGGGAGTACTTCTAGTCCACAGTAGGAGGAGGATTTCCAGCCGTACACAAGTAGGAAAACATGTACTACATCCACCTACAACCAACACCAGATCTACCGGGAACTGACATCCAGCTGATGGTAGGAAGAGGGACTGCAAAGCTGGGGTGCATCTCAAATCCAAAACCTGGCAACAGTGGGCATTTGTCATCCAGTCTTCAGTAGGAAGAGGGAAACTGGCCTACACAGATGTGAGAACATACTCAGCTAAACCAGCTCCAACCAACACCAGACCCACCAGGAATGTACAGCTGGAGGATGGTTGGGAGGAGGAACATTTCAGCCAGTGGGGCAAACTGCAATGATATATCTATATTTATGACATGGGGGAATGCTTCAACCAAAACATGGCAGCATTCGGAATTGATCATCAATTCTGCGGTAGGAAAAGCATCATGTTATAGAAAAAGTTTAGTCAGAAATACAGTACATTGCAACCAACTAAAACCTGGCAGCATCTGGAATTGCACATCAGGTCTGTAGTAGGAAATGCTATATGCCAGGGACACCTGCAGAATGTCACCCCTACTCACAACTGAGTGGTATGATTCATCACACAGGAGGACAGGCCTCCACAGTCTACCACTCCAGTGGCTAGGAACTGGTAAGGACTCTCATACTACTATGAGCTACTACGTTGATGGAGTCAATCAACCAAATCCAGGTGGCATTTGGAATTGTACATCAGGTATGTGGTAGGAATAGACTAAATGCTATGAAGCAGCAAAGATGGCCAGCAATCTCTGTCTGCTTTACTCATGTTAGTCTATGATTGTATAGTCCTGGAAGAACATATTTATAAAGCAAAATAACACTACTATATATAATACCCATAACCCAAACCTGTAACAAAATTATTTAATTACAGATACCAGAAAATCAGACACACACAACCAACACCTGGCAGCATTTGGAATTGTACATCAAGTCTGGTACAACATAATTGACAACTAGTATGATTGCAGGATGGATGGTGCAGATTAAAAAAAAAAGTATGCCTGGTTAGACACCACTTGCCACAAAGTGGTATCCACAATCCAAAAAGAAAAAAGGGCTTGAAAATTGAGAAAAATTTGAAAACAAAAGCAACCTGGCACAATACAAAAATATGAAAATAGTAAAGAAAAACGAAATCAGTAGTATAACTCAAAACATCGACAAGTCCGTGAACAAAATGTCTCATGTTTGTAGAGTACTACTGCTAATTGATTTCTTTTGTTATGGATTTCTCACAAAGCTACACAAGGGCTATCTATGCTAGCCATCCCTAATTTAGCAGTGTAAGACTAAAGGGAAGGCAGCTACTCATCACCACTCACTGCCAACTCTTGAGCTACTCTTTTACCAGTGAATAGTGGGATTGACCATCATATTATAATGCCCCCATGGCTTGAAAACAAGAAGAATGCGTGCTGTCTACTTATCATTGAATTTATCACTAACAAGTCACAGACACCTACTGTAGAAGAATCCTAAGCCCAATAACAACACTGTATATATTTATACTTTTGAGAAGTATAAGTAAAAGCCTTTTATTTTGACAATTGGTGAGAAAAACTATATTTTAATTGACAACAGGCAAGCCAGCCAGGATTATACAGCAACAGAAGAAAACGTGAACAGCAGCAGAAATAAGTAGGCCTAGCGGTAACGAAAATAGTGTAGAGATTATGATTATGCTGTACAACCATGCCAGGCGATTTTAATAAATAGGTAGAAAGAGGACCTCATCTTGGGTTAAAGGACAGTGAACTATGATAATTTGTTAAACATCAAGAACTAGAGATAGAAGAGATGAAGAAAGACTAAAAGAAGAAAATGAGAGAAAGGATAGGCTAGAAATAGAGAGAAAGAATAAGAGCACAAATTTAAAAAGAAAATGAGAAAGAAGAGAGACTAGAAATAGAGAGAATAAGAGCAAAATTGAGATTGCAAAACTCACCCAACCAAAGGAAGAAGGATCCAAGAATGATAATGGAGTCAGGGCCAGTCAACCCAAGCTGCCCAAACTTGATGACATGGATGATTTCTTGGTGAGATAGGAAAGAGTTGCCCAAAGTTAAAACTAGGAATCCAAGCTGCCCAAATTTGATAAACATAAAGATGACATGGATGTTTTCTTGGTGAGATATGAAAGAGTTGCCCAAAGTTAGAACTAGGACAAAGGTGACTGAGCAGTTTGTTTCAGCCCACTTCTCACAGGAAAAGGCCTACAAGTATATGTAGGTATGACATCAGAAGATTCCATGGATTATTACAAATTAAACGTAGCTCTAATGAAATGATGTGAACTTACTGAAGAAGGCTTTTGTCGGAAGTTCAGAGGAGTCAAACCTGACACTGGAGAAACTGTATGTCAGTTTGTGGCATACCTGATGATGACAAAACCTTGTCGAAATGTTGTACATTTGCTGTTATGTTAAATTTATATTAAAGTTTTTCTTCATTACCCATTCAAGCCGTCTCCAACCATTATTAGTCTCAAAGTGGGTTCCTCGTCATCAAATGTGGATGCTATGTTGGGGACAAGAAAGTGAAGGTTCTATGACACACAGTGAGAACCAGTTTGTGCTAATTGATGGGACTATGAGAAAGTTTTCCAGAGCAAAAATAAAGGTGGATACTCCATGTTATGTAGGAGACCTTGAGGCCATGTGTATCAAGGATCCAATACACAACTTGGTGATAGGAAACATACCAGGTAGTAGAAATTTGGAGGAACAAGACAGAAAAAAAGATTGATGAAGCATCTGCTGTCACCACCATAGCTCAAGAAAAGAAGAGCAAAAAAAAAAACAACATCAACCCCCATGAATGTCTAAAGACAACATCCCGAATTTAGGTTTGCA